CAGCAATTTTAGTTTTATTTTTTTGAATAGTAATAGTTTAATTTTAGTAATTTGAATGATAGAATAATTAGACAAATTGAAAAAAAAGTTTAACAAATTAATTAGTCGTTTAGTGAGTGTTAATAATTTTCATAAGACAATAATAATTATCAGTTCAAGAAATAGCATCGGATTATTTTGAAGTAAATTAAGGGTGATGAATGAAATGAGGTAAATCGATGATTAGCATAATTTAAATCGAAAAATTTTCATCGAACTCATATGGAACGGTGATTACATCATATGTGATACATATGTGTATTAAAAGTTTATCGATTAAATATTAACGATACATATATTTTTCTAAAGTACAAAGAATATTTCTTTCTTTTCTATTTTTAAAATTTCTCTGCTAAAAATAAATTATCAAATGATAAGCGAATAATTAATTCATTAGTTAAACTTTTGTTTTTTTTTTCAACTAATCCTATGGGCAAACAATTTTTTTATCGAAATAATCTGAAGCGACAAATTTTTATCATTATCATCTTGTTGAAATCATTGTTGTTACCATTGTTGCTGTTATTGTTACTGTCACTTTGTTTTTATTATTATTATTAATTATCTTTTTATTATTATTAAATATCTTTTTATTATTATTATTAATTATCTTTTTTCACAATGAGTCGAAAAAGAATAGATAACATTATCGCTAGTGCAAATAAATTTTTAAACTAATATTTGACATTTTTAAACTAATATTTTTTCTTCTGGAAGTAAAGGTAGACCTATTTCATTTTCATAATTCACCTCTTTATATTTACTATTTAATTTTTGAACTTTTCATTTTGATAAAATAGTTGAAGCTATTTCATAAATAATCAATCAGAACGATTGCAATATATAAAAAAAATAATTGACAGAAAGATTGTAATATAAAAATTATATGTAATATTATATATATTCACATAGTATACAACATGTATATATATATTAATAAGACTAAACTGAGCATAGTTCTTTCCTACTTATTACCATTATCCTGCTCCTAAAAAATTAATTGAAAATTAATTTCCATTAATTTGAATTTTCAAGAGTAAGATAATAATGGTGACAGCCAGGCGAAAAAATTCATAAGTTTAAAATAAGAGGCAACTATTTGAATATTCATTGACTTCTCATAATTTTTTTAAAATGAAACATTCCGAAGAAGAATATTAGGATACTTCAAATTAGCTACTGGTAATTTGATATCAAAAGTTTTGATTTCGAAAAAGAGAGAGAGAGAAAGAGAAAAAATAGGGTTCTGTCGTATATTGTGTCAACAATGATTGAATAGTTGAGTATTAAGATAAGTAAAAGTTAGCAGCTATTTTGTTGGATATAATAATAGCTATACAGGTTATTAGTAATAAGTGAAAGGTAAAACAATCATTCATTAAAATTAAATTTGCATGAAAACAATGCAAATTACAATTCAAATTATTTTTCAACATGTGGTAGTAATTGAATGCATTATATAATAGTTGCCAGTAATTTAATATCTTTTTTTCTACATTTTAAAGAAAAGAAGTTTTCGTCAATCGGTAAATATATGATATCGTTTAGTTGATATTGAAATGAAAACATATAATATATTTCACTGTGTTGCAATATTTTGGTTCTGAGTTTTTTTAAACATTTATCATATTTTGGTAATAATTATTATACCTTGGTAATTATCGTTATTATATCCTGTTAATAATAACAGAAATGATGAATATTGATAATTATATTCAGGTCAATAATGAAATCAATAATAGTAATAACGCTATTAATAGGTAGTGATAAAAATAATTACCATAATAATAATAACCAATAATATTGATGATAACAATAGTACTATTAACAGGTAGTAATAGTAAATAATATCTATAATGTTAACAAAATTTCCATTCTTTTTGCTTGATGAGTAAAATGTGCCACTATTTAATTTATTTGTTTATTTAATTACTATTTTATCCTTTAATAGAGAATTGAAAAAAATTTCAGTATAATTAAAAATATATTAGCCATGAAGTTTTCATCAAATTGTCATAAAAGAAGCTGCAGAAATTATAACAATTTAATTTGATGCAAAAATACCACAATATACTCACTATCTTTTGCTTTTGTTTTATTCGGTTTTTAATTTAATTAATTTAATTTCTTATTATGTGATAAAATGATATTTTCACTCAATTAGTACTGTTACTGTATCTTGCAGTAAATTGCATTTTATCCCACAGTATGAAAGATTAGCGAATTTTTTCTTATTTGTAATTTACATAACAAGTAAATTAGATCATTGTTCTAAGAAATTAATGAAATGATTAACAATTCTTCCAAATATTTGTTTCCATTAGTAATTTTATCTATTCTACTTGTCTCGTATGCTTCTAAACTTTTGTTAATTAAATTAATCTATTATATCTGATCATTATGAACAGGATTGAATTGAAATGTATTCACAGTGGCAAAATATATTTTCGAAAGATAGAATGAACAATGAAAATTAATTGATATAAGTGTTAGAAGTGATAATAAATATAGTAATATAATAGATATATCATTTAATTTGATTGCCAACTGAGATAGTGGAACATACGATTGATATCATTAATCTTTTCATAAATCGAATATTTTGACTACAATCGATTTGCTTATTTGTTTTCACTAAATCCATTTTGATAATTTGATAATTAGACTGATTACATTCCTCGAACGAGCTATAATTTATCAATTTCTTAATTAATCATTTCAGAATCAACCAACTTTTTTTTAGTTGAAACTAGAAATAAATATGTATAAATAATTAATTCAAAAATAAATGTAAACATTCGAATAATTCTTAATGATAATAAAATGATAATTGAATTGGATGATAGAATCCAAAGAAGAAAAGGTACGAATAGGTGAAGAAATTATTTGTAATGCTATAAAAATAATTAAGCGTGAAATTATTAATTAGATCAAGAGATAATGTGGTGAAAATAATCATTTGATACATTAATTTCTTCTGCACATTGCTGATAATTATGATGATGATTGTGATAGCCGATGATGACAATGATGATAATGATGATATTAATGGTACAAGGAAAACAATGATAAAAGAAATCATTAATTATATCTTTTTTTTTTTTGAAAATTTCAACCATTTGATAACTTTGCAAATTTTTTTCCGTTGTAATTTTTATTGTTTCAGTTATTGAAATTATTTGTGAAATTATAAAATAGTTATAAAATATAAAATAGTTTATAAAATATAAAATAGTTTACAATTTAGCAATATTACGAAATATGATTTTATGCGGAAAAAATTCTTATATTATCTGTTGATCTCAACATTTTAGCTATCTTAACTTTTATCTAACAATTTTTTCTTCTTCCTATTTATAAAATAGAATTTTATTATGTAATTTTATGGTATACAATATTTTGCATTTTTGATGATAAATTATTTAGACGAAATATATGATATAATTAATTCTAACATAAATTTAATTGTATCATGAATATGAAAGAATTTTAAAATTAATTTCCTTTAATAATCTTTTATTAGATAAAATTGTTTTTCGTCATTTAATTTAAATTCAACTAAAATTTTAAATTTTTTCTCATTTTTATTGTTAAAAAAAATTTTTTGATTATAACAGATCCATTTCATAATGAAATAATTTTAATTTAAAATTTAACAAATCCATTCCATAATGAAATGGCTTTAATTTAAAATTTATTAGTTGTAATTATATTAAAATTATGAAATAAAGCGAGAAAGATTGCAATATTTTTTCGAACTGAATGTAAAAAATCATTAATTTTTTTATCGAATAAATTTAAAAATTTATTACAGTCATTTTAATGGGTTGAAAATTAGATGGAATGGAAGTACCACTTGTTTTGGAAGTCCTAAAATGGTAAAGAAAGAAGAAAAATTATAAATTTAAATCATTCTTATTTCTTTTCCTTCTCATAAAACTAATACTCTTTCTATTCGTATTTATCCGCTGATAAATGAGCTTCTCCAAGATAATGAGATGAAATAACTTCTATTTATTTTTTAGATTAATGTTGTAAAAATTTTATTATGCGTCTTTTTCATAAATATCAGATGGAATAATATTATCATCAGATATGCATTAGTAATCAATAATAAATGATAAACATTGCTGATAAGGAGATATAAATTGCATGCCAATTTTTAAACATATTTTTTGGTTTTTCTTCTGTACTTTTTTAATAGGTGCTTTTTTATCAGCTTTAAAATGATCAAAGATTAAATGATAATGGAAGTATAGTTTACTGCTGACATTTCGAAATATTGATTTTTTAAATTTCTTTCATTTGAAAAAGTTTATTTTGCTTATATTAAGTTGTCAGTAAGCGATGCAAAATAATCATAGGGAAATTGAAATCATTTGATTGGAAGGTTTTTCTTTTTAAAAAATAACTTTCATTATTGAATAAAATTACTGGTAGTTTAATTAGGAAACAATCAAATCGAATGATTCATCATTTTGTAAATTATCAAATAATCGATATTGTCAATTACCGATTTCCTAATTAAACTACCAGTATATTGTTTATTTATTGTCGCTTAGATATTTATTTATCCTTTACCTTTAGATATCATTTATCCTTTAGATATTTATTGCTTAGATATTTATTTTATATTTATTGATCCTTTCCGCTTAGATATTTATTTAATCCATTTGAATTATGTGTTGTTTTAATTTGGCAAATTATTTTGCATACAACTCTAATTTGAATTAGAACTAAATTTCGTATTTTTTAACTTTCTTAAATTACAATAACTGTAATTAAAGTTTTAATTTAAATTAAGCTATAATAATTATAATAAATACACAACAATATTGTTTTGAATTTGCTATAAACTATAAATAATATATAATAATTGTGATATTCTCCTTCTTAATCGAATAAGAATTCTCTTATCTTTTTAATTAAAATTTTTAATTGTTTTTTGTTTCATTATAGAAATGTGGCCGGAGTACTGTTTAAAAGCAAAATGTGACATGGTATATTTGCATAAATGCCCGGAAGATTCACGATTAATAATACCACCATTGCCACCTGGAGAATGTTGCGCACCGCCCGCAGAATGTCATTGTGATATACAGGTTGATTTTTTGTTTTTGCAACAAAATGAAATTTAAGAAAAGAAAAGAAAAGGAAGAGAAAAAAAGAAATTTAAAAATGAAATATATTCTATGTTGACAGATAAAATAAGTAAATGAATGAAAAATTGAAATGTGTGAATTTTTGATTTTAGCAATATAAATTGCTTTGAGAAAATATCACCGAAGAAAATAATCAATATTTAAGAATCCATAATTAGTATTTAAGTATATATATATTATTGTTTCATTCAGTAAAAGAGTAATATCATCGTAAATAATCTATAATTAGTATCCAAGAATATATGTTATTATTTCAATCAATAAAAGAGTATTACAAATAAAGGGAGAAAATTGATATAATTAATACAAATAAGTTTTTATCAGTGAAATCGTATAGATTTACTTGTGTTGAAATTAAATAAAGCGATACAATTATGAATAGCTTTCTTCATAATTGATAAATTGATAAACAACAAAATTGATAAATTAATAAACTTTATAACAAAAAAAAATATATCAATAATTGCTATAGTGTGTTTTAGAAATGTTATCCATTAATACCTGTATGTGAAAAAGGTCTTGAACGAGTTCTTATTAAGAAAGGTATCAATGAACCAGGTCATTGTTGTGATATCTTTGAATGCAAACAACCAGGTTATTTATAATTCTTATAATTTAAACCAGGTTATTTATAATTTTTATTATTAAATAGATTTGAATCAATAAATCAAATTGTAAATTAGAAATTTTGTTGTTTCGGAAAATTAATTCATTTCTTTTTTTATTACAGAATTACGATGCGAAAATGTACATTGTGATCATCATTATTTGGATTATAACGTAGAAGAATGTCCTGATGATAGTATTCGAGCTGCAAGCTATGTACCAGCTGGAACTTGCTGTCCAATTAATCCTGAGTAAGTTCCTATTTTTTTCGTACTTCCTCAATTTATTTATTAATTTGCTTATTAGAGTTAAATCTGCAATTATGCATTAAGTAATTTGTATGATAGGAAAAAGGTGAAGTAACCTCCGATACAATGAAATTGTATACAATTAAATTAAGCTAAATATTTTTGTAAGAAAGCAAAATAAAATTATCACTTGATATTTAAAATGTTATTAATGGATATTTAAATTTTTTTAAACAAAACAAAATAGTTTTTAAAAATTTATTAACATTTTTAAAAATCAAAATTTTAAATTACAATAAAAATATTGCAGATGTCGATGTCGTGCATCAATTTGCATACCTGCATCATGTCCCGAAGGTCAAAAGGTGAAGATTTTGCAAAAAGGTAAAGATTACATTTTTTTTAAAAGATTTCGCGGCAATTAAAATTTTGAAACTTTTGCAAACTTCAAAGAGCGAAGGAATTGATGAATGTAAAAGAGATGAAATTAAGTTGAAACAAATATTTGCTACCTCATTTTACAACTTAAATATTAGCATAACTTTAAATTTTAATTTATGAAAAAAGGAAAACAAAAATTATGATACTAATAAATTTACCTAATTATATTAGGACTGAGATTGGAATTAGAAAGAAAAACAATAATCTTAATTTTAAGGTGATGGAACACCTGGAAGATGTTGTGATCGATTTATCTGTGAAGATGGTGAAGATAGGATAAGCGCAGATGGTAAACGATGTCCATATAATGGTGAAATATATGATGACGGTGAACAATGGCATACAAGTAGTTGTGAGCAGTGCAAATGTAAAGGTGGCATTGCATTATGCAGTAAAATGACCTGTGCCAGTCCTCCATGTTAGTTTTGTAATAGATAATAAATTAATTAGGAAATAAAAAATTAAAACTCATAATTTAAATTTCCAAATTTACATTAATAATACCTTTTCTATTAATTGTCATGATCATATTCGTTTACATCGAATGAATGTGAATAAAACAATGAAGAAGAAAAGATATGATAATTTTAAAATTGAAATTATTAAAAAATATTAGGATTTAAAATTTTGAAAAAATAATTTATGAAAATAAAATTTTCGTCGTTTTGTTACAACAGAAAAAATGATGAAATATACAATGGCTTTATCACCACCCATTGTATTTATTATCAATATTTCTAATTAACCGCATTTTTAACTGATTATTTTAATTGATTATATTTGCAGTAATAATTCAGTGTTTTAGTCGTTCAATGGCTAATAGCTTCGACAATAATATTATTACAAATTCATTATGCAAAATAAATGAATTAATAAAATTAGTTAAAAATAAATAAATAAACTAATGATAAAGTTAATGTATTAATAATTCGAAATGAATGAATAATAAAATAAATGATAAATATACATTTAAATGTATAATTATCGTTTATTTTATTTTAGGAAAAATTACAAATTAAATATCCTAAAATTTATTTATTTAAATTCGAATTGAAATTTTAATTCAATTCCCTTTATTTAGGATATATTTTTTAATGACAAACATTTAAATGCATATTCATCATTTATTTTTGGAAAAATTGCAAATTAATTATCCTAAAACTTATGTACTTAAAATTCAAATCGAAATTTTAATTTAATTCCTTTTATTTATGTTCGTTTTATTTATGTTCTTTTTTAGGTATGAATTGATAATTGTTTTTTTTTTGGCTATAAATTATAATAAAAAAATTTAGATTTTGATTTTAATTTGTAATTTCCCAATTTTACAACAACACTTACAGCAAAATATAACAAAAACGAATTTTAATTTTTTTAAACTTTTAATTATGATATTTTAATGAATTATTAATATTTAGCACATTGTACTTGGGTAGCTATACCGGAAAATGAATGTTGCCCAGTATGCCTTGGCTGTCAAGCAGATGGTGAAAAGCATCAGCTTAATGAAACATGGCAAAAAGATGATTGTACAAGGTTATTAATTATACGATAAATTTTTTTCATTTTTAAAATTTAAATTTTAAATTAATTCGAAGGAAAACAAATGATATCGAAGGTTGGATATAATTCTATTTTATTTCTTGAAAATAAATTTTGAAATAGTCAAATAATCATTTGACTTCATTAATTACAGGTACGAAATCATTAATTGAATTATTTATAAAAAATTCTATTAATTTCAATTACCTATTATTTGCCTAAAAGTTTACAAACTTATTTTTTCATATTATCAAATTTATATTTGCTAAATATTTGTTTAGTATAATTTAAAATTTTTAGTTGCTCTTGTGGTCCAGATGGTATACATTATTGTCAAAAACATATGTGCCAAGTAGAATGTGATAATCCAAGAAAAATTCCTGGCCAATGTTGTCCGATTTGTGATGGTTAGTTTATTTTATCATTTGATAAAATAATAAATCAAAAATTTCTTTCTTTCATATTTCACTTCTTTTTTCAATTTCCTGTTAATTATAAATCTTGTTAATTGATTTCTGTTAATTACCAAATCATTAATTAATAAATTATTTCTTTTGAAACAAAAAACAGAATCCAAAAGTATTATTTTTAGTTTTTATTCATTTCTGCTATTTTAATTTTAATTCTTAATTTCATTAATTATAATTGTAAAATTGTTTTTAGAACCAATAGTAATAGTAAATCCATCAATTTGTCCATCATTGGAGCATTGTCCGTTACGGTGTGAAAATGGCCTATTACGTGATTCAAATGGTTGCTTCCAGTGCAAATGTGCACCTGTACAAAATGTTATCAGTAATAATTGTCGAGAACTCAATGATGTTAATTGTGATAAGTAAGCGATTTCTGTTAATTATACTTTTATTGTTTTATTTCAATAATTTTTGTCAATATTTATTCATAATTTTAATCAGATGAAGTTCTAAACGATCACAATTCTTATGATATCGTTTATAATTATTCTAAACGATCGCAATTCTTATGATGTCCTTTATAATTCTAAACGATAAACGATCGCAATTCTTATCATGTCGTTTATAATTCTAAACGATCGCAATTCTTATGAATCATTTAATTGCAACTTATACTGCACTAATTTTTAGATTTCGGAGTATAAATTACAAAAACTTTAAAGTTTGGGAATTGTTCCAATAAAAAATTAAATTTTCAACTTTTAAAGTTCAGAAAATTTTTCAATAAAAAATTAAATTCTCACATTTAAGAATAAAATTTTCTTGTGATAATTAATGACTTTTAAATTGGAAATGAAACATTCAAAAACTTATAATAAATGTAAACTTTAGTGTTTCATATAATTATTATTTAAATTTTGTGTTTCATATAATTATCATTTAAATATAATTTATTTATAATTTTGCGCAGAAAAAACAGAAATCATTTCTTAATCATAATAATCGTAATCATAACCGTAATCATAACTTTTTTTTTTAACCCCAATCATAATTTTTCCATTACAGAATTTGTGCTCATGGCTATTTGCGAGATGAGAAAAATTGCGCAGCATGCAAATGCGCTAAATGTCCACCACTTCATCAATGTTACAAACATTGCTTATATGGCTTTGAAAGTAATAATAATGGCTGTCCGGTATGTAAATGTCGTGGTATGTTTGTCATCTTTGATCTTCAAAAATATTTTAGTTAAAAAATTTGGTTTTTTTTAAATTTACATTTTTCTTCACAAATATTTTAGTTAAAATTAATTTCATTTTTAAAAATAGTTTTTCTTTGCAAAATATTTTAATTGAAATTGATTTTTAATTTTTATTTTGATTATCATTAGTGGACATTCTCTTTATCATTGCAAAAAACTAGCGATAGGTAAACTATTGGTAAAACGATCGGTGATTGTTAAACCATTGGCAACAATCAGTTATGGAATAATTCCACTGAAACAGAATAATTTAATCTGATTATAATTTTTATACTATAACTAAAATTTAACTATTATCATTATTCATTTAAACTATAATACAATTGCATATCAAAAATTTTGCAAATTGTTTAATGAATATGTTCATTAATCTAATTTTGTTAATTAATAATACTGAAACAATTCAAAAATTTTGCTTTAATTAGTTAAAATTTTTCGAATTTTTCTTTCAACACTTTGATCAACTCAATGATTTTTTATTTAATTAAAATAAACATTTAAATTGTTTTTTTTTTTAAATTTCATATTTTAGCAATGAGCCGAATTGATGCAAAATTATTATCAGTGAAAAAAGAGCACGATGGTTGGGATAAATGTTATTCATTTAGTACACAAACGGGTAAATTATATGGTCGTGATAGTGGTGAATGGTGGAATGATGGCTGTCGGCATTGTTTTTGTGAGCAAAAACATGTTAGTTAATTAATTAATCAATTAATTAGAATTTCTATTTAAAACAAAAAATTGAAATTGTTTTTTGAAAATTTAATTTTTTAAAGTTTTGTTCCTAATTTTTTATTCCTTAAATTAATATTTTAATTTATTCAAATTTAATTTTATATGCAACAATAATATTTATACTTTTATGCCATCTGTTTTTTTTGTAATTTTTAATTAAACAAGAGAATAATTAAAAATTTTGTTTTTTCTTTTTGTCTTTCTTTTTAAGGAATTTTGCTCACTAATTTCATGTCCACAACGAAATCTCTCATGTCCTATTGAACATTGGAAAAAAAGGGAAGGTAATATTTATATGAATTTTGAATATTTCATTTATAATTTATATTATCCTTATGTTTTATAGTTAATGCTTTAAATAATGAATGAGTTATATTTACTTTTTAATCCATATATTTTAATAGAGAAACTTAGGAAAGAAACTTGTTAAAGTTTTAGAACTTAAAACTTGGAAACGAAGAAGTTCTCGTAACTTCAATAGATAGTCTATTATGTCACAAAAAGTTTATGTGAAATTAATTCAAATTAAATTTCAAAAAATGTATCATATTTAAAGATGCTTGTTGCGCTAGCTGTGATTTGAAACCATCAATGGAACTATCAAAGCATGAGCATACAGTATGTCAAAGTGCTGGACGTTTATTTGTTGACGGAGAAACGTGGCAATTAGCTCCTTGTACATCATGTACATGTCGTGTAGGTAATGTATTATGTCGCGTAGTGGAATGTCCACCAATTGCTTGTCCGATACCTATTTTTGATGAACGAAATCAATGTTGTCCAAAGTATGTTTCTGATTCCCTTTCAATTTTTATTTCTCTGAAATAATTTATTTTGTAATTAATTTTATCAAACAATAATTTATAATACATCAAATATATCAGTTATATCATTACTAACAAAATTTAAATCATTTTTATCAAGTTTTCAATCATTTTATATGATGATAAAGAAATTTAAAAATTGGAATGCGATGAGAAAGAAATTTAAGAATTGAATACGATGATAAAGAAATTTGAAAGTTGAATACGATGATGATGAATTTAAAGGTTGAATATGATGATAAAGAAATTAGAATAATAAAGAAATAAAGAAATTAGAATGATAAAGAAATTTAAAAATTGAATACGACGATAAAGAAATTAGGATGATAAAGGAGTTTAAGAATTGAATACGATGATAAAGAATTTAAAAGTTGAATACGATGATAAAGAAATTTAAGAATTGAATGCGATGATAAAGAAATTAGAATAATAAAGGAATAAAGAAATTAGAATGATAAAGGAATTTAAAAATTAAATACGATGATAAAGAAATTTAAGTTTCCTAAATATTACTGATTTAATAAACTTTTATTAAGTTTTTTATCACCTTATGTTATATATATAAATTATGCTTTGATTCTTTTATGAAATCTTATATATCATTTTAATCAATAAAATATTTTTATCTGCAAGATTCCTGCATTGCATTTATCCAAAGATTACTGTTAATTTTTACTAGTAGTTTAAAAGTATTGAACTTATTTCAGATGTCCAGAAGAAACGAAATCATCGATAGGCCAAGAAGTAGCATTATCGAATACTGGTAATGTGGTATGCACGGATAACAATTATGTTGTACATGTTGCCGGATCAAGTTGGAGGACAGATGAATGCACCTCATGCAAGTATGTCATATTATACATATTCTCTTTTGTTTTTTCGATATTTCAAATTAATGAATTGAATTTGCGCTATTTGAAATTTTATTTAAAATCGCTAATGAACTGATAAATAACAATTATAATAAATTTGATTGGTAATTAAAATTCTTTTTCTCTTCCTCCTTACTTGTAATTTGGATGCTTAGATGTGTTGCAACTGATGATGAAGCAAAAATTGAATGCTTTGAAGAAAAATGTCGACAGTTGACAAATTGTCGAGGAATGCCATTAACAATTAAGGGAAGATGTTGTCCTGTTTGTTCAGGTATATATTAATTTTGACTTATATAATTAATACTTATAATATTTATAAGTACTTATATACTTATAATACTTATATACTTACATTATACTTAATACTTATATATATACTTAATACTTATTATTATATACTTAATACTTATTGTTATAATTGTATACTTATAACAATTAATACTTATATACTTATATAATTACATACTTATATAATTATTCAAAAAAAATAAGGAATATTTTGAATGGATTGAAATTCGATGATGATCGCAAAGTTTAAATCGATTTTAAAATAAATTATAGAAAAGAAATTTGACCTAAATAACCAAGTACATAAGTGGTGAAATTTTAAAATTTATTTTAAAATTGATTTAAATTATATTTCTACAATTTTATTATTAATTTAGCGAAAAAATTTGACTTTAATTTTAAATATTTTGAATGGATTTCAAATTCGGTAATAAAATTTTGAAATTTTCTTCCATTTATTTCTAAATTAATGATTTATTTTTAAATTAATTGTTTCTAAACTAATGATTTATATCTAAATTAATGAAATTGCGGTAAGTATAATTCAATTTTTTTCTATAATTATTTTTTGACTGAACTTCGTTTTTTGTTTTAGATGTTCTATCATCGGGTGCAATATGCAGTTATGGTGATAATGTATATAGCGTTAATGAGGAATGGCGTGATGGTCCATGTCGCAATTGTACCTGTCAACCAGGTAGTGGAACGATATGTAAAGAGCAACAATGTGCAAAATGTAATGATTCCATACAAATACCTGGACATTGCTGTCCAATATGCAAAGGTCATTTTTCAAATATTTAAATATTAAATTATTTTATTTAAATATGATCGGAAAAAATTTACGAAACTCATTATTATCATTATTATCTTATCATTAATGATTAGAATTTTTTTCTTAATTTTTTCATCTTATCATTATTATCATTATTATTATCTTATCATTATTATATTGTATGATATATTATTCAGATATTTTAATGAATTATATATTGCATGTGTTAATTAAAATAATTTATATATTTTATATATTGATTTATATATTGCATGTTAATGTAAAACTGTTTCAAATTTAATTCACTTGTTTTTTCATTTTGAATTAAATATATTGGCTAGGATTACAATAAGTTTGCTATTACCTATTTGTTAATTATAATTAGAATAAAATATTTAATTTTATAATACAAGAAAAAAAGAAAACGTAATATAGATGTAGAATGGCGATCATTTGGCGAAGGCCAATTTCAAACGGTATTACTGGATGGCAACGATTCATCATCACCATCTTTATCATCAAATTTACGAATGAATACGATGCTTTATGGAATTTGTTTAACAGGATTTATTCTCATCGCTGTTATCGTCTTCATTCTCATTTATAAATTAGTCAAACAAAGTAAAAATAATGAAGAAAAGGTTTGTCATTATTATGTTTTCAATAATTTTTATTTAAATGAAAATTTAAAAAAGAAAATTAAATATCAAAAATTCATCAATTCACACCTACGAGAATACGATACACCTACGATATTTTGTTTTTAACCCTTAAATACTTTTATTCGTGACATAACACCTCGATATAATCTAATTAAAATTGCTAATTAAAATAAAAGGAATTTCTTGATCGGAATTCAATCCGTTTTTAAAATTACGAGACAGCCATTGTTTACCTCTAAAATGATATAATTGCATCTTTACCTTGCATTGCATACTATCAAAAGCTTCTGTACCCAAAGCACAATTAGCATACAGTGTATTCTTTCTACTCATCAGATTCTCCATATCTTAATAATTCAGCTTCTGAGAATCTGCTTTGCGAAATACTTTTGTGATCGCATGAAAACCAATGATAACCTTAAACAAAATGATGATTTAATATCAAATTTTGTTCAATCATTTTTAAAAATATATCTGTCAATTTGTTGTAGAAAAAAATTTTAAATTAATTAAATACAGACTGTATGATTGAAGACCTTTCACCTTAGTTATTTTACCGATATATATATATATATATATATACAATATAAATGTATGTCGCATCAAACATTTTAAGCTATCATAAAATATTATTAAACGAATAATTTTAGATCCGTAATAATTTTCCTCATCTCTTATTCTTATTCATTTTAAAATATTAAATACATAATCTTCTTAATTTTAGTACAATTTACAGAAATTGCCAATTCATTACGATAGCTCGACTGTGTTACTGTCAGCTACAAAAGCAATTGGATCAACACCACGACTATACGAAGATGTATCAACTCGAAGGAATAGTTGTGGTGATGGGCAAAGTGAATTACTTATTTCATCGAAGTAAGCTATTGATTTATTTTTGCTAAAATCATTTAAAATTTTAATTAAGGTTAAAAAATATCAACGATTATCTTTTTTTGCTACTGCAAAATATTGCACGATCGTTTAGCGCAACAAATCATCGAGTGGTCATTTTACTCAATAAATATATTATAGTGTTATATAGCATCCTAAGTTTTATATAAAGCATTTAAATATAAAGTTTAAATAAATCGTACTTTATATAAAACATTTTTCATTGCACTTTAAAATATTTAATTTTTATTTAACTATACTTGATTATTTAATTATCGATTATTTTTAGTTAATTAATACAATCGTTTGTTTAATTGAATATAAATTAACTGTAGCATTGGTGCATATCGTAACGTGTAGAATTATTGGAAAAATTGTTGAAATTATTTGAAATATTTAAGTTGAAGTTTTTTTAAGCAATTAAAATAATTAATTCTTCTAAAACAGGAAAAAAAGCTTAAGCTAATTTAGTTCTGAAACAAGCTCCGCAACATCATCCAATGGTAGCTCAGGATATGGACCGCATTATGATACTTTACCATTAAATCCAGTGAAGAAAAGTGTTGGTCGAACAAAATCAATGGATTACGGTATTCGACGCGGTTTTGGTTCCTTTAAAAATAATGCATTTGGTAAATTGGGCAATAAACATGGCTCTTGTAATGTATAACACAAAGTAAATAAAATTAATTAGCATTGTAGAAAAGAATGAAAAGTTTGAAATGACAATTTTTCAATTGTTTTACCTTCCATTCATATATATCATTTACTTCACACTAATTTATTATTTTTTTTTATTTCACAATACTTCAAAATTTCATTATAATTTGTCAAAATTTACATAAATTAGGAGCATGGGAATATTATGATTAATGATACAGGTGGTAATAAGCATTAGAGTTTTGTAAATAAATAAAATTTACTATTCATCCTACAACCATTTTCGGAAAAGCTTTTTAAGGGAAAGAAAGAAGAAGAGAAAAAATATATAATTTAAAATTAGAAATTGTCGAATTTAATGAAACAGATAAATTATGCTAATTTATATGTTAAAATTTAAAGGAATTAACGAAGGGGTTTTTTAAATTGCTTTCAAATCGTAGAGCAAATTTAATGCTAATCAATCAACTCCCAATAAAATGCAAGAAAATTATAATACAATAATCAAAATTGAAATTATCAATAAAAATAATTTTTGGAATGGATTAATTTGTAGGTATTATTTTTCACAATTCAAAATGCAATGTATATTTATGCATATGTTAACACATATTATAATGGTGCTGTATCATAAAATTTCATCGGCAATATATCTCTTTTCAAATTTTCTTATAAATCCCATCAGAACAATTTATTATTTCTCGATTAACTCTCGAATACTAGGAATTTCAAAATGCTAATTCAATTTTTATCATTATTTTTGATGTTTCATCAAAATTTTTAAACTTAACAGCTTTTCAAGTTTATTTTTCTTTTCATCGAAAATATTGATTATTTCATTTAATAAAACTTATGATGAAAAAGAAGTACTACTTTACTTTTCAATAATAAATTCTTTCGATACATTTAAAACTTTTTACTATGTCCTAAATGAATGCAGTATATTTAATAATTAAATTTTACTCTAATTGTATTTAATTACAAATTAAATTTTTACTAATAAAATATTTTACTCAAAAAGAATTAATAATTCTCTTTCTTCTCACCTCCAATCATTTATCGAGCTTTTTTTCGTTTTCTTTTATTTTCACCGTCGCACAAGAATTTTTGTTCTAACATTTTTGCTTTATTTATCTAACCGTAATCGTATATATCACCTATCAATCGGAATATTCAAATAATATCATTTTACCTATTTTTTATCTCATCTAATTCAAGGAAAGAAATACTTTATCAAAAAAATTCACGTACGATTTAGAAGATTCTTAATTGTAAAAAATTCATCAAGGAATTATTTTAGAGAACTAAACTTACAGAATCTTTTCTAAATGTTTTATCGAGAATTAATTAAGAATAAGAAATCGAAATATTTCTAATTTTAGTTAAATGTATAATATGCAATATAAAATCACATAAAATAATATATATCAAATTATTGCAGAACTTTGTGGCTCTTCACTCACCTAATCTTCTTTTATGGTACTTTAATTGGCCAGGTTACTTTAGAATTAAGATAGGGGAGCGAATTTCTTATAAAAATTTCTAATTTAGAAATATGTATAATTTCATTTCTAAAACATCTTAATATCATGTTTTCTAAAATTTTTCACAAAGTTTCACTTTTCAAATATTACTTTTTTCTGTTATCTGATTATGCTATACGGTATGGGAAGGCATTGCTTGAGAATTTTGTTGTAAAATATTAATTTTTATTGATTTAAAAAATTTCTTATCAGAAACTTTCAAGCTCATTCCATTTAATTTTGTTTCAATTTCTAAACTTATCATGAACTTATCAAGATGAAATGAGAATTTAAAAGATATATATTAATTTTAAAGATATAGTATTCGCTTTTTTTTTACCAACCAAGCATATTTTCCCATTGCTCGATTTTGTATGTTTAAAAAAGAATATCGATTTTTTGATCCTATTTACTAATTAATATTTGTATTGAATTTTCGAAATATTTTATTTTCATTTTGGTGCTCATATATATATATATGAGAAATGCGTAATTAAATAAGCATAAAACATATTTGTTTACCTTTTACGAAAAATTTCGCCTAATGTTCTTCCAACGTACATACAGTAGTATGTCATATAGGTTACATATGGTTGAACTTCTAAGTCTTTTCTTGCTGCGTTTTCTTCAGGATCGCATTGTGTTGAATGATTACCGAACCACGACAAACTGACATATTTGCAAGAGAGCTTCGTTATAAATGAATTGGTCTCTGTCAAATAAAATAATTATAATCTGTTATGATGACATTTCAGATATATTAATATAAAACTTGAATCGTATAATAGCTAAATGTATTCAACTGTTGTACTGATGCTACTTCGATTATTATTAACTCACCTCTAGCTGCATGATACCAGCAGTATTTGTATAATTTTTTAATGATAAAAGCAAGAGAGCAATTTCTTAGTTTTAGGAAAATGTTGAGCTTGGTCAATCATACTGTTCTAGGATATCATTGAATAAGTTCAAATAAATTTAGGAGCGCAAAAGTCCTCTTTGAAGTTATGCAACAAACTTAAAATGTATTTTTTTTATCCTTCTTGATGAATAATGATAAAATCATCAAAATTATTGACTGGTAATGAAACATTCTCGAATTGACTGAATCCATTAGCACAAAATAATTCATACTCCTTTAACAACTGATTTGCCAGAATTCCTACACAACGATTAGACATTTAATGAGAGCCGATATACTGTGCAAGAGTATCAGATTCTTGAACTCATATCAAGTGATTACATTTGCATACTTTGGTACTAATAATGAGGTTCACTTATTGGCTGTAAGTTAAATATTTTTGAAATTTTCACTAGTGATATATCAAGGATCGTAAGGTACCTCTAATTAAAATGATAAAAATGATAAGACAGAAGGCACTGTCAGAAGATGTGATTCTCTTAAAATTTAATTATTCCGAATAAATGTCAATCAATTGGAGGTTGGTATTAACAGCTGAGACAAGCACGGAAAATATCATGCGCAATTATAAACGAAGTTATTGGAAGTTTTTGCTTGATTTCTGAAAGCTACTACCTAATATTTCGGCAAACACTGGAACTAGGCTTAATCTAAATATAATTAGAATCATCAAATATAACAAAGCAGAATCAGAAATTAAATGACAAAAATACTGCAGTGAAATACTAATGCAGCAAATGAGTAATCTTTAAGGTTTTTATAGCAAATGAGTAAAAATTTAAATCACATTTTACGTATCATTACGAAATTAAAGGATAACGATTACAATCAACAAATTGAAGAATCATATTACGAAAAATGATATCATCCGAATTTTCCAATCTCATAACTGGTCAAGTTGATGTTCAAAATTATGAATCACAGCAAATAAATAAAAACAGCTTACCTCTAGGGCTATATTTGGAAATTAAAACAAATCAAGAAGTTCATAAAATATTGATAACCGTATGCCTGAAATTAGACTCCTATAAATTGAAACGGTAAGTCACAATACAAATTTAGCTAAAGAAATGCTACCTGTTCTAATTAATACGCTGTGATCTTACAATAACAATAAAGAGTTAGCATAATCGACCAATGATTCCATTTTTCATAAATTTCATTAAAAGAATCAAAATAAATTTGTTGGGACAATTATCATAATTTTTAATGCTACAAATTATATTACGTATCCTATGATAACTAGGTAATTAGAGGAGCTGACACTTACTAATGACTATTTTTCTAAATAATTGGAGTATTTTCTCGTAATGATCAAAAGAAGAAATGTGCTGTGATCGTTGCTAAATTATCAAATTTGCCTTTTTTGAAAAGTTTATAGTAAAAAAGCAAAACAAGAAAACATACGTTTCATTATGCCATTGATTAAATAGAAACGATAGATTCCAACATCGTATCTCAATCGGATCTCAATCGGAGATTCCAAACATACAAGTTCGTATCTCAATCGGATCCACTGATTCCACTCGAATTTCAATTAAAATCATTAATTTCATCGTATCATTTGTTCAATTCTAATTTCGAAGCTATACCATGCAATGTCTATCACCTAAAACTTCTCCTGATTCGTAACATTTATCAATAATCAATATCAGAAATTTAATAACCGTTGGTCAATTATTCCTTGAATACTTCAAACATGTATCTAATTACACGTAATTATTAATCCCTTTCACACTACCTTTCCTTTGGAATGACTCCGATCAGATCAAATCAATTCATTTAGTGATGCGATCGAGATTTGCATACATTGTATAATGAAAGCTATTCGGAAAATTCGTACCATTTCTGTTTTTGCTCAAATGCACGTGTTTTATGATATTGCACGTAATTTATAACTATTATCCGCTAGCTGCTCGTTTTTTCCTTCTTTCATTGGTGAGTAAATTATCTTGCGGATATATTATAATTAGTAACAATTAGTAACTTACGGATAATTTTTAAGTTATCAATTGGAGACAATTGTTGCATTTCGGGTTTTTCAGTAGTGCGGGGTAGGGTTTGTTAGTGGGAAGAAGATGGTTAATTATGGATAAGGGGGTTTCTGTACTTGAGTTAGATTGTTTAATGGAATGGTGCGAAAACGTAGACTTTTACAGCGCGAAAATTTAAACAAGAATTCGATTTAGTCTAATTACTAACTTTCATATTAAAGTTATAGGGCATTATTTTTTAAATCTGAATGCGAAAATAATTTAACATTGATTACGGTTTAATTGTAATTGTGATTAGAAATCATTCAATCGTAATTTTTAGCTAAATTTGCTCTCAGAGATGAGTGACTGGATTCACTGTAATGTATGCATTCGCATGCCATCTCAGGGTAACGAACAACATCCATTTTATTTCACATCATGTGGTCATATTATTTGTGGTAAATGCTACGAAACAGGTTAGTCAGTTTTCATTTCTTTCATAATTTTATCGCATTCTAAAAAAATTTTTGCTAACTTTTTGAATTTCATTTTAATTCCTGTAAGTTTCCAATTATCTATTCTTAATCACTATTGACAATTTTGTTGGAATCCAAAAAAGTGCTGTGACAAAAAAACATGTACTTACTACGTATTTCTACGATATATTTCTAGGTAATTTTTCGTTTTCAGCTCCTCAGGGTCATTGCATGCGATGTAGCAAGCATGCCAATGCAGTGAAAATTAATCGAAATCTTCGGAGCGATTTGCAAATGTATTTTCGAAATCCAAAAGAATTACTGGACCAATATGTGAAAAATTTGAATGCAGTTTTGGATTTTCAAAGTAGCCATCGTCAGCATTTGCAAAAAGCCAAACAGGAACAGGCAGGTAGTTCGCATGAATCAATAGTAAACTTGCAGAAATCGGTTCTCATCAAAATTACCAATGAATAGGCGAATTTACAAGCGATGCAATTGACTGTTCGATGTTATAGCAAAAGAAAGCAATGAAATACGTAATATCGGCACAACTCGCAATGAAGCAGAAGACTGAAAGGGAAAGGTTTGTGTAATTTAGCCTTTTAATAAGTAAGCCCATAGGCATACATTTCATTAGAGTTCCTCAATAATTTTCAGGAAAGCTTTGGCTGAAAAGGATTCATTGGTAAGAGAAATCGAAAAACTTCGACATCATGCTCAAAAACTGGAACAGATGTATGTGCACTAATTTTCATTGCTCTTGTTTTTGAATTTCATGGTTCAAGATAAGATGAGTAACTTTTTAACCGTATAGAATTGAGAGAAAGAGAAATTAAAATAGATCATATATTATTTGTCCTAAGCTTCTATTTTCTTTTTGATAAGTTCGAATTCATTGTCCTTCAGGTTGGCTACCAGCGCTGTTTCACGCAATAGTCCTCATTCAGCTGGACGAAGTAGTAAGTTGATTTGTTTTTCTTGAGACATATGTTTTGTATGACCTGAAGCTCAGAAAGTCTTGAAATGGCCTCTTTTAATTTTTTTCATGGAACTGGGATTTGAGAATAATTTGAATTCATAGCAAAACTGTAGTTCAATTTATAGCTGTTAGCTTCCATTCAGGAATTTTTTGATTTAAAATGATTAAAGGATGATAACTTTTTTTTCTAGCAGGAAGTAGCCTAGCTTCTACAGAAAGAAGTGGTGGAGGTTGTTCGGGGCGTTTTGCGACCAGTACTCCTATCAGCGATTGTTTGGAAACGGTACTCATCAAAGAGAATATATGCCATAATATTTAAGTATATTCAAATTTAGTTAGTCTTTCTGGTTTCAGTTAGTGTAAATATCATTTTAAAACCGCGTGCTCCTTTTAAAACATGTTCTAACATTGTAATTCTTGTAACTTTCAGGGCGGTTTTAAGTTGGGTGGAGACAATCGTTCACTTAGCCGTGTAGCTGCTGCTTTTTCTCGCAGTGGTATAGAACCAAGTCCTATTGCATTATCTACTGCTGCCATTACAACGCCTGATATGCTGGGCTTAAGAAAACAACGCTCGGAGAAGTAAATTAATTTTCTGTTAAAAACACTAATATTCACGTTTCAGGTATACTTGTAGGTATGCAATAAGTAGCAGACAATAAAGTCGAAAGTAATTCATTATTCAAATAAAATAAAGAGGAATAAAACCTTTTAGATATTTTGACCTGAAACATGAGAAATCAGAGCTATAAAGATATTCAGAATGCTGATTCTTAGCTAATAATTTGTTGGTACACACTAATGCATATCTTATTAAGATTTCTGAATGATTCTTGTAAAGCAAATTGTTTTCAGAATCGAAAAAAACTGGTTGAACGGAAACGGAGCAACACCGAATCGCATGTTTTCGTAGACTAGTAGGTTTCCAGATGCAGTATCCTCTGTTCATGGTACCAGTTTTCGTTCAACATAAATTGTGATTTTTGTATTTTGTTATTTATTAAAAAATTATTTATTTTCATCTCCCAGTTGTAACTAAACAGTATTCACTGTATTAATTTGTAAGCATATTGAATATTATAAGCTTTATTTATAAAAATTATATTTTTCAAATGTGTCTGACATCTTATCATCATCGAATATTTATGCAAATTTTATCCTTCTTTTGAGACACATAATTTCAAAGGCCTCAACCTCATCATTTGTTATTTATGCATAATTCGGACTAGAATGAGATGTATGACTAACACGACGAATAAGTTGGAGGAAAGTAAATCTTATCTGCTTTATTGTTTCTTTTTATTTCATTTTCATCTTTTAATTACTCCGGTTATTATTTCCGGATCTTTTTCCCCTACCATCCTCAGCTAAGTTGATTGGTAAATGCGGATCCTGAATAACAAGTGAAATTATCGGCTCCAAACATCATAAAATTTCTTTATTGTTCGAGTAAAATAATGAATTTAGCAATGAATTTGTAGGTCAGAAAGGCCAAAACACTCTATCGTTAAATGCTAAACTATTATTTGTGACCAAAATCTGTAAAACAAATAAGCGAAGTTTTACACTGTTTAATTACATTTATTTTATTCCAAATTAGTCCAAAAATGTCACAATTTCTACAATATCATCATAATATTTTGATCTATTCAATACTAAAATAATTACAGTAACCAAAAAATGTTACGATATGATCTGCCAGACAGACTCTATGCTCGGGGTGCAGTGTTTTATTCGAAATATCGGTTGCAAAAAGATTAGAAGGAATAAATCCAAACTGCTTAAGAAAACTTTGGCAAACCAAAATCGTTATTGCATTTCAACGATGTGTGTAACGCAGCTGGAAAATTTTAAAATGAAAAAGAAATTATTTTTCGTTGTCATTGGCATATGCCTTTTATGTCTTTCATTATACAGAATAATTTCAAAATCAGTCTTTTCGATTATAATTGTATGAGAGAAGTTGGAATCAGAAGTGATGATAATTCCATGAATTGAAATGAGTTGTATTAATTGATCATTTGCTGCAAGTTTATAGTTTCTCAAAATTTTAATTGCATTTTGTTCTTAATATTTAATATTAAATTTAAAAGAAGATTATCCAGCTTTGCTATCACATGTCGATAAATTTTTAATTTTTAACAGGCAAAAAAAGATAAAAAGAAATTCGATGAATAAAAGATACAATCATTATTTTATGTAATCGGTAGAATAAATCGTTCTTTATTTCACACTAACAGCAAATAGCTAACAGAAGAACTGATTGATACTGTTAGTTAATAGAGCGCAAATATTCTTTATCATTAGTTATCATCGATTAAATGAATATGAAATTAAGAGCGCCCAACAATTTACATAAAATATGCCAATATGTAAATCTGAAATTCAAAAAAAAGCAAGTAATGCAAGCATCTTCAAATTGAAAAATATAAGTATTACATTCTATTCAAAAAATAAAAATAAAAATATTTGAAAATATAGAAAACAGGTAGGCAAAAAGGTCATGCAAGGTAATTAATGAATGAAATAGGCTGAAGAAAAAATTATTGGTGGAAAATATATCTAATGCATCTACGATGCATAAGCAACGAAGGAAGGTGAAATATTTTCAAATTAAGAAAGGATTATTAAAATTGAAGCTAATTGTAAAATACATGCAAGTATGAAAATCTTAAATGACACCAAAGACAAATTACAGAAAAAATAGAGATCAATTGGAAAGAAGGAAAAGAAATGAAGAAGAGAATGATATTGAAATATATGTAATTTAAGTAATAAAAAAGTAACACACTTGCTGACACGCTTGACAAAACCCATTATTTAATTATCATATGATAAAACAATAAATTATCCTTTCAATGTTCGAGAAATCAAATTTAAAATAGTCGAAAACAATTAATTGATTGCAGAATCCAGAATCCAAAAATATTGTAGAATCCAGAATCCAAAGATTAATAGATCGAACTGCATTATAATTTCTTTTTTATTGAGTAATACTTACATTTGTTCAGATGAAATGATCAATTAGTGAGTAATTTAGTTAATAAATTTTGTTCTATGATCAACGTGGCAGAAATCATTTTTTTCAAAGTTGTTTTGTTATAAGACTATATGATTTGTAGTCCAATGGTGGTGGTATATAATGGAAAACAATGGAAATTTTAGGATACTAAAATGATAATTTTAACAAAATTGGAAACTGCAATCACTTTTAAATGTTAAATAAACACAAAATTGTTGATTAAAATAATTTAAATTCAATTGTTTCATTTTATGACAAATTCCACTGAGAGCATAATACATAGCTTATCCTAAAATATAATATTAATTAAAGATAGACAGATAAAACTATATCATGCAAAATAAAGTATAATATAGCTTATAATATTATATTTCCTAAAAATCTGTTCTTATAAATTTACACATCAAATTTTGGTAAATCATTGAAATGAATGAAAAATAAAAATTGATCATTATATTCAGAGATGAATTGCAGCCGTTGAAATATTTCATCATTTCAATTATTCACATGCAATCTATACGTCCATTTTTTCCTTCCATTTTTCTCAATACCCTTGTATTGCTAACAATTTGATCATTTTAGAAAGTTTACTTTTCAGATCTCTCTCCTGGATGTTGCAACCATTTATGTGATATAATTTCGTTGACAGTTCCTCTTTCATTTGCGTTCACTTCGAGCATTTTCAACAGAAATTCTATTCAATGAATAAATTTTTATAAGCATTAATTAATTGCGCTCATTGAGAGAATAATTTCAATTTGGTAATATATGAATTGATCGGAAAACTGACCATCAATAATTTTTATAACAATAAGGTGAGTAAAGTATTATTAAATTCTTTTGAAAAATTTATGTAATTTTATCATTTCAAAAAGCATTCTTAGACTTACCGGAGACAGCTCCATATTTCAGGAAACGGAAAAAACATTCCTTACGTTTTGCTCGATACCAATGAAGATAATTGTTATCATCTTCCCTTTAAACACGATTTATTGTACAAAANTTTCAAAAAGCATTCTTAGACTTACCGGAGACAGCTCCATATTTCAGGAAACGGAAAAAACATTCCTTACGTTTTGCTCGATACCAATGAAGATAATTGTTATCATCTTCCCTTTAAACACGATTTATTGTACAAAAATTATTTATATTTACACATGAATTGATCGAAATATGGTCAGCTTTAAAATGATGAAATTTCACCACTCACTTTGCTGCTTCCCACGGTACATTCTGCTTCAACATAAAAAATAATAGGATACCGCATGCCCAAATATCTGCACAATCCGGTCTGCAATATTTGAATTTTCAAAAAAAGTTCTTTTTTAGTATTTTCTTATTTCAAAATGCAAAACATGCAAATTTGCTGTACTTGTACTCCTTATCAAACGTTTCTGGCGCAGCGTATGCTTCGGTTGCATAAACCGGAGCATGCATTTTTTTTCCGGGTTCGAAGTACATCGCTTCATCAAAATCAGTCAATTTAAGATTTCCTAAATAAACGAATATCTTCATTATAATCTCTGAGAACATTTCCTTACTACTGTAATTAATTAAGTTATACATACATATGATTAAATTAATTTTGGTAATCAAAATTTAGTATGAGTGAAATTGAATTATCTCTTATATATCACTATGTCGAAAAGTATAAACAGCATTAAAAATATATATTAATTGAAATCATACCATTAAGGGTTAAGAGACAATTCTCAGGCTTTATATCCATATGAGCTATACATAAATTATGAATATGTTTCACTGCCTCTAACAGATCATGGAACAGTATTCGCACTTTCCTTATTCCCATTTGTCGGTTTTCTGCAAAAAAGTAATAATTCAATTCGATTGTTCTGCTAATTAAGTTTCTAACAAAATTATGAATTAAAATAATAATTGGGAAATAATTTCGAACATATTCCACATAAACAAATTTGGAAAATTTGAATTTTGAGATGATTGATTGATTCTAACTTCGAATATAATTCGCTTCTATGAAGTCGTGAAGATCGCCGCCACCGATATATTCCATAATTTGTTGCGTGAATAAATTAACTTTACGAAAACCAATTAGCTTTACAATATTAGGATGATGGCCAATCTGTTCTTTCAATTGTAAAGTCTAAATAGTTATCATAAGCCGATATAATTTTTGGTAGTAAAAAAGGAAAAAAGATTTACAAAATGATTTCAAACATGTAAAATTACATTTTTGAGATGTTTTTCCATACGTAAAGCAGTTTTACATTGATATTCTTCATTTTCTATCTTTTTTGTCAAACTACGATCCTGTTTACGATGCCATCGCATTGCATATTTTATTCCATCACCATTTGTTACAAGATATACTTTAAAATTACCACCTAAAATACAAATATTTTTTTAATACTACAGAATAATAAAATGGTATTAAAAATTTTTTAACTATATTATATCTAATATGATCATATTCTAATCAAATAAATTTATGCTTAGAAAATTTATTCAGGATTATAATTTCCTCTTTTCGTTTGATACTTATAAGACAAATATTTTGATTTGATCGACCGACCTTCGCCAAGTTCTCTATCAGTTTTCCACTTTTTCCCTCGTAATTCAATTGGCATAAAACTTTCATCGATGGTAGCACCTTTAGGATCATCACAATAGCTAAAATCGTTATATCCAAAAGTATAACCATTGAGCTCCTCAATAGCAGAAGTACTAGCAGCAGTAGAAACAGCAGAAGTACTGGCAGCAGTAGAAACTTCACTGTTTTTTGATATAATCGTTTTACGATTATCCTTCGTATCCATTTTAAATTACCATAATCTATTGGTTGATAAGACGAATTTTAATGAGAAAAGGAGTAAGAGTTGCCACCATATTTATGACATGCGCATAAATAATGTACACATTTCACTGTAAGTTTAAATTAATCTTATGAAAGGCAAAATATTTAGAACAGGAGAGAAATTAAGTTATTTCGCGGATTTAATAAAATTTCCTAATTTCATATGCTACGATCAGAGAGTATATTACTTCTGTATCCTATTTCTCTTCAGATTACTATTGCCAAAACTTCTCATTCCACGCATTTTTGTTTTTCTCTGCTTTTCAAAAATCAAATTCTCTTTAGGTCTTTGACTAATTTATAATTTTGCAAACAAAATATAATCGCCCATACAAATATAACACCCGACGTAATATATAATAAGGTATTATTGTTCTAGCATATTCCAAAAGCCACCAAAAACAGCAACAGACAGCACATATACACATACATATACCACAATGAAATGATTACTGCAAATAACTTATCCGCACTTCTTCCTTCATGACCTCTTCCTTTCTATCCGTTACTACAATCGCTCCTATAACTATTAGTGTTACTGTTACCGTTACTGCTACTATTCTACTTTACATCAAGTAAAGGTCATATTTAAATTAGCAGAAAATTATCGAAATGGGTTCAATTGAGAGAAAAATTTTCATTACTTTTGTAGCAGCAGCATAACTTATAAGTTCCTTAACGGTTCAAAATTTCGAAGTCTTTCAATTAACATCTCAATGTCATAATCATATCTTTCCTCGTCATCAAAAACTATGCGTGGAATTATATTAGCAAAACCCGAAAAATGGAATTGATTACCAGCCAAAACATCGTTGGGATTAATTTCTCTCAGTCGGAATATGTCATTCTTATCAGATGATATGTTAAGGTAACGTGAAAATTACAAAAGAATGATTTGTAATGTCAGAATAGAAGTTTCTTATCAAGAATAACTACTAAAAGCTCTTTGCTATATTAATTCAAAGTATTTGGAAATGTTAAAAGTTGAAAAAGAAAGTGTTAATTGATTTTGCAATAAAAGCGCAAATTATATAGCATTGCTTGGCGTTTGGTACAAAATGATGGAGAAATAGGAAACCTATAAGTATTAGAAAATCAAATGTTGCCTTGAAATTTACTACAAGTGATACTAAATCTTTTCTGGCAAAATAAAATGTAAAAGTTTATTTCATGTTAATACACTTATCAGACGCTCATATCGAAGATACAATGCTTCTTTCATCTCTAAAGTGATGTATAATTGATCTATTGACAGTTATTCTCGAATAAGTAATTATTTGAACATTAATATGCATTGAAAGTTTTTAGAGAAGCAAAGCAAATTTTAAAATATTATTCAACAAAATAACAAACATGCAACAAACAGATCCCACATCACCAAACCGATTGACCTCAAAAACTACTTATAACTCATATTTCTGATTTCTTCTCACTGGTCACTTTTATTCTTTCTTGTTGTTTTAAATGCTATTGATATAACTACGCCGTTACGACATATATCCATCCCTGACCAACGAGGTCAGCTTGAAGCGAAATCATTCAAAAGCGGAATCGTCCAAATCCATCGATTGTTTTTCTTTCTAACTTGCTGTTGGTCACACTTTTTTCTTGTCATTTTCAGTGCTTTTACTTCGTTGAGATGACAAGTCGATATGTGTCCTTTGCCTCGCAAGATCAATTGAATGAAGAGAATCATTTAAATGTTTCTAGTCGACCGAAAAGATGAAAGATAGAAGAAGATGGCATGACCTCTAGATATCTCTTGCAAGCACATCTTTCATTCCATCTCTCATCTTTCTCTATCATCAGTTTATTCTCTTAAGCGTTGAAAATTTCAAATACATGCATGCCGCAATGCATTTTATGCCATTCCCTCCAAAACTCTCGGTGGGCAGGATAATTTAGCTCTATGTCTTCCAATTTTTTACCTTCAATTAACCGTGCACATCGAAAAGGAGAAAATCGAATCATTACAAATAATTCATTTTTTCTATACTATAATTGTCTACGGTATTTTATGAAGATCGATTTTGTTTGTTCATCAAATTAGAGAAGTGCCATATGACGATTGCATCATTATCGATGGAATGTCAATGTTTTATACCGTATCTCACAACGACCTATAGTTGGCTATACTTCTATTCCAAAATCAACAATGTCTTTTGAATTGATAATTAACATTAGCACTCATTTATATGCTCAATTAATAATTATATTGTAAGAAAATATAACAGAACTGATATTAAATTATTTAATCTTAAATATTTTGTTTCGAAATAATTTTACTAATTCCAAATTTTTCAATCCCTTTTATTTGCACCTCAAATTTCTCCTTCATTTTATATATTCATTCCACCTGCTAATGATTGATCATTCCATAGCCAATGTTGATTAATGTACGAACCGATATCATTCACAAAAAACATTTCATTATTTTATAGTTACTGGTAAATCATAAATTGATATTTATTGATCTAACTTTATCCATTTCAAAATACCTGTTACATTCTCGGAAATTTTAACTCATTAGTTGCATCATTTAATTTAACAGCAAGTTAACCAGGATAAGTGTGGTCGAAGAATTGGGAGAAGATATTTAATTGTTTACATCGAACAACTGATGTCACGTACCTAAAAAAGAAACGAAAGATATGACTAATTGATCCATTCCAAAGTTTATTTTTCTCTTCCCACTTTTTTTACAAAATTTTTCTATTCAATCTTAACTTTTCTTCATTTTATGCAAGTCTTCATTAGTTTGTATTGATGCCATTATTGAGAAGAGTGGTAATATCAAATGATGGACAATATGAGCTATGAAAATGTTTCAGTTTTAGAATTCAGGTACTTTTGCTTTATAGATTGCATTGCATATTTTCGCATGATGTATGAATTTTCTTCATTAGGAATATAAAAAATTCCGGAATTTGGATTGTTCGAAATTAACCTTTCACATTTCACATAATTCATATTTTTGGTGACATATTACCCTTTTAGATTTGTTAGGATCTTTGGGCAAGGCTTAAACGTAAAACTCTGTTACAACTAATAACTGTTTTATGATCGGATCATGAATTTCCTGAGCCTCAGATAGATATCGTATAAGTTGAGCTGATATCAACAGGCTGTAATTATTCGAATCGCTGAGGGACTGAGAAAATCTCATTAATTTGCCAAAAGATGAAAAAAATAGTTTCTGGAAAAGATCAAAAGGGAAATTGATAATGTGCTTATTTCTTCGCCAATAATAGCTTTCTATAGCGAACTGCTCAGGATTAGGAACTGCACATTAATCAAGTATTGTGAGTGGAACGGATGATAACAATTTGCTATTTGTATTTGAATACCTCAATAAGTCAAGCTACATTAATTTCTTTATCATTTTGTAGTTTTAGTTTCAGACAGGTAGAAGCAAAGCAACACCTGGAAAGTAATTATTATTTACATAAAGTGCTTTAAATGAATATAACAAATTGATGAAATCTTTGAAATATCTATCCTTTAATATTACCTGTATAGCTCTAAGCATTCGATAATAAATATTAATGCCATTTATGAGGTTTATATATAAGGGCAAAAATTTGCATATTCGAACAGATAGACCAATATTTTGAATAATTTGCTGTTGTGGAAGTTTAATCGATTGTAAGCATAAAAGCATTCATTAACTTGACCGACTTCATTGTCACTATTACTATCCTAGTAATTCTTTTGATTCCAAAGTATTCTCTATGAATCATTCGAAGGTTAGAATCTCTTGAAATTGACATATCAAATTGAACATATACTATTATCTTTATCATGACCTTTGACAATGTAATTCTTAAAGTATAAATCGAAAATATACCAATCGACAGACACTTCATTATAGCTTTATATCAAAGATGCAAAAATTATATGAGATGAAATATCTGAATTTGTAAGCTGTTAAGTTCATCATATAATGTATTATTCCCGGGTATACTCGGACAATCTCAGAGTTTCTCCAAGAAAAATTAGATTTAATGAAATGTTAATGTTACGCGAGAAATTTTAGCAGTTTCATAAGGATCTAACCCTGCCCGATTGGCAATGCGAGAAATGCAATTTGTACTCGCCGCAGACATCCTCCGCATTGTATCTGTGGTGCACAAAATGCGAAAAAATCGTTTGCGCCTTATGCATTGGTAATTTCAGCAATGATTAGAACGGAGAAAGATTAATTCAATCAGCCAAGCAGTTATATTCTAACTGGTTTCGTTTAATTATAATAGTGATAATAATGCCGGTACAATGTGTATCGGATATAGCCAAGTAATAATACCCCGAAAAATTTTTTTACAGTATCACAAGAAGAATTAAACCGTATTTGTTTCGGTTATGATCGGTCACATACATACTAAAAACACATTTATTTGAGGTCAATGTAACAATGAAACACATCCATGGATGCCAGCGAGTGACATTATCTATGAACTCAAAGGAAGGATCGCTTATACGAGTGCGGAAATGGCCAAGGTATTTATGCACTACTTTTCATTCGGCTTTCAACTTTTCATTTTTTGAATGTTTAGTCTGTGGGTAAAATGAAAATAACTGGTAAAGATGCGATGCGATCAATTCACGGACTTATTCAAATTCTAACGGAACTGAAGAAACAATGTGAGGTTGGTGGAAAGCAGTAATTTTCCATTTTTTTATTCTTAATTCGAAATTTTAAAGCTTAATTAAATATTCAACAACTTGGATCTTACGAATTCTGCGAGACATCAGAATTTCTCTCATTTAATTCGAAAAATGATCACAATTTTTTTTATCACTATATACCTTATAGTAATGTTTAAGGGTGTAAGTGAAGTTGTCAAAGTGTTATCTGATGCTTTAATTGAACGGCAAAATAATGCTGATATACGTCGTACGGAAACGGATGAACATCTGCCGTTTACATCGATTCTGATAAGGAAACTGCGAGCAGAAATCGAAGATAATAAAAACTTAGCCCAAGAATCATCTGCTATAGCTCTGTTATTCGACAATCTTATCAAACAATGTCAGGAAAATTTCTTTATTCAATCAGTAATTTCCATTTTTCAGCATAAATACATCAGAATCACTTTTTATTCATCCGTCTCATATTAATTGCCTTCAAAGTTTTGCTGTGAAAGTGAAATGATTTGCAGCGGACGATATTTGCAAGGATGCTCGCAATTTGATGAATTCATTTTTGCTGGAAAAGAAACTTCGAATTGAAGGAAAGGATGATGCCAACATAGAACTTGAAGATGACACTACTAGTCACAAGTCAAACGTAAATGCGTTTGGTGATAATATGCTTGACGACGATGAATGCGATATTACAGTTCGTGAAGTCAAACGAGATGAGCGCGCGGAGGTGATTCGACCGCTCTTAATTTGTTCTTAATTTATAATGCTATGAACAATGTTGCTAACTAATGTTTATCTTCAGGATTCTGGAAGAACGGGTATACTAGATGAAACAGTCACAATGCCATCCACGGACACTGTTATAAAGAAAACGGTTAGCACTGATGAAATGTAAAATGAGAACTTCAATGTGATCTTATTGATTTATATTGAAAATTGTATGATATACATTTTAGAATGGTTTAAACTGATCTGGTTTTAATAAACTCAGCAAGCTAAACAAGATGTGCAAAAAACACATGCAGGAATTTCAGAGTAATGAGATTATTTAAGGATGTAGTCATCGCAGTCGTACTACATTGTCGCAAGAAAATTTTATTTCGATTAAATTAGTATTGGCGATTTTTAAACTTCTTTCTTTAATTCATACCATTGACTAAACCAACCTAATAATATTTCAGGTTGTATAATATTTGTTAGTTATAATGAATTAATATCTTCTAGTTTAATTGGTCTAATTGAAATTTCCAGAATGTTATGCGATAAATGTTCAGAAGTGAAAAAAGTACCTCTAATTAACGTAAGTGAATGATTATTAGAGGTAATCGATTAATTAAAATAAAAAATGCGATCTCAAGGAGTACCACAGGTGAGTAATTAAGCATTGAAAAACGCGACTTTCGTTAAAAAGGAAAGTATTGAATTCAATTAACGCTATAAGTAAGCGTCACATTCAATAAATGGTACAGCGATTAATGACAATTCAAAATAATTCGCAAAGCAATTAAGGAGCTACTAGAAGTTACTTTGTTATTAATCGCATTGAATAATTATGTGCTTCTTCAAGCACAGCGACCATTGCGAATGGTACCAAATTGTTGCTATCAATGTTTTAAAAGAAGAAGGAATTCAATGATCTGTGTTTCGCATTGCTATGTATATTTATTTCAAATGAAATTCGGAATGATTCATGTTAGCGTTATGGGTTATTCAATCAATTCGTTTGCAGTTTCATGTGTGGTTACTTGTATGGATGTGTAAAATCCAATATTATAACATGTCGTTTCACTTTTATATCGTAGGAATAGATATTTACTGCATCAATTATCACTGATGAAATGCAGGTATGCAGGTGCATGCAATAAAAGAGTTGTTAAAATTATTAAAGAATTTATTCATTTTAATTTCAGAACTATTTGTAACAACCTCGATAACTATGGCATGACAGTTCTGAGGGAAAAAAGAAAGATTAACAAACATTCATATTTTATTAAAAAGTGAGAGAGCGAAATATTTTCCAACTTGAAAAAACAATCAAATTCAAATGAAATTATTAATTAATTAAAATTAAATGAATTTAAACAAAAATTATTTTCGCCTGTCTTTGTTTCCTTGAAGCAATCACGTAAGCATCCTTCTGAATACATGTATTGCTGCCTGGTTTCCACTTAGACTTTCCATTGCTGAAATAAATCAAACAGTTTATACCGCTCGATGGTACTAATCTAAACAAACTGAAACATTAAACCTGCTTCGTATTTATAACAATAATTTTTGGAAAAACTAAAATGCATAAATGCATATCATGCCGTGCAAGATATGTAAAATTTCTAAATTTTGAATAAATTAGGTTGAAATTTTTCCTATTTTTAAGTAGAGAAAAAGTTTTATTTCGAATTAAATTTATAGAAAAAAATAGAAAATATTTGCATACATAAATTTGAATTTGTTTATTGTTTATTGAAATACATAAATTCAAATTTGTTTATTGTTTATTGAAATACATAAATTCAAATTTGTTCGTTGTTTATTGAAATACATAAATTCAAATTTGTTCATTGAAAATTCAAATTAATCAATTGTATATAAAAAATGATTCATTGAATTAGGATTTCATTGTTCTACCAGGACGATGCTAAATTCGCTTGCTAAAGAGGATAGCTGGGTTTTTGGGTCGATTGGTTCTCCTTTTTGCAGATAATGCAGTCCGAGCCACTGGACAGCAAAATATGTATGTTGCCTTATAATACAAACACGGCAAACCATGAACGAGTGTGGAACAGCGGCGGTATCATCAAATATTCGTTCCGGGATATCAAGGTGGAACTGACTGATGCCTAAGATTCTGGCAGAAAAATTTAGAACTTTTTCAATGTCGATTATGCTTTTCTACTTGAAGTTCCTTTCTCAGAAATTAGTCCATGGTAGAAGCTTTCTGGTATTGCAGTACAAAGGCGATCATTTAGCGTTAGATTTTTGGTATAATTGGATTAAATACAAGGTCGCTTCGAGAAATTTTAAAAAGGAGCTGAATTGCTGCGATGCGGTGATTTGTTCCCTATCTTTTGGCGCGATCGAAAGGAAGGACTGCTATACTGCTATTCGGCTACGTGTAATAAAACTGAAATTAGTAAGTGAGAAAATTATATGTAAATGAATCTGAAGTCATTCATTTCTCTCAACTCGATCCATCAATCAATATTGCCATTTTTCATTGTGAAGAACTCAAACAAATTTTATTTCAATCGCGTTTTCCAATGAAATAATTACGACAATTACTGCAGTGCGAGGAGAAAGTGGAAGAGATTTCGAGTGGTGCACTGAATGATACGCTTATTATTGTGTGAGAATTAAAAGGTGAAGTACCGATTTGTGTTTGTCACGAATGTAATAGACCACCCGAAACTGGTTGTTCACGTTACATCTGATGAACCAATTTCCGTTATGGTGATTCATGGCAAACCAGTCCAGTGGAGAGGACTGCATCGGTATCATTCATTCGGTATCATTCATTTTTTTCTCTTTCCACCGGTTTCACTCATTTTCCTAATTTTTTATCATCTGTGGATTCTCGAGTTGCTTGCAGGAAGCAAATTTCAGAGATCGTAATATTTTACCTGATGAGAATTCGAATCAGCATGTAACAACGTGGTATTAGTCTGGTGAACGAATTATGTGGTATTTGAGAGATGGTGACAAAATTGGTGTTTGTTTTAGCTGGAATGACTATGAATATCGCAAAAATATCAGTTCGATCGACGTTTTGTTCAAACTTCTGGAATAAATACGTGGATAACACCTGATTATACCTGAAGACGATTGCACCTGAAGATTACTTCCTATTGCCCCCTATTTGATTATATCTGAAGCCGTTTAAGGATTAGCTCAATTTGGTGCCGAGAAATGGATTTTAATACACGTAGGTTATCATAACGACAATATTTCTCCCGCATTTGAATCACAGATGATAAAGAAATTTTTGATAAAGTAAGTATTAGCTTTCAATATTAAATTCATACAGGTTGCATTTATTTAAATATTAACCAAGTAAGTTTCTTACATCTGACTTCTATGTCATTTTAAGAGTATCCATAAAGAACGTGCCGCGGTAGGTTATAGTTGGAACGAAAAAATTTACGTTGGCGCTCTGCACGGTAACATCTAGTACTGTTTTATGTCAAAAAGCAAAGCCTGGCTGCACTATTAATTTAAATATGGTCTGTTTTAAACAATTTTTTCTACTAACATATTGCTATTAATTATTCTACGTGTATTGCGTGATTAGGATTTCATGCTTTGCAAGATTATCTCCATGTAATGTTAAATTTTAATAAATTTCACAATCTATTCTTTTTTAACGTATTACACTTATTTTACATTTTACACGTGTCACGTATTAAGCGAAACAAATTCATTGTAGAAGGAAATTCCTCTGTACGTGTCACGTATTAAGTGAAACAAATTCATTGTAGAAGAAAATTCCTCTGTACGTGTCACGTATTAAGTGAAACAAATTCATTGTAGAAGAAAATTCCTCTGTACGTGTCACGTATTAAGTGAAACAAATTCATTGTAGAAGAAAATTCCTCTGTACGTGTCACGTAGTAAGTGAAACAAATTCATTGTAGAAGAAAATTCCTCTGTACGTGTCACGTATTAAGTGAAACAAATTCATTGTAGAAGAAAATTCCTCTGTACGTGTCACGTATTAAGTGAAACAAATTCATTGTAGAAGAAAATTCTTTTATACGTGTAACGCAGATTAAATTGAATCAAATTAATTTCAAAAAAAAATTTCCTTGCTTTTTTAATTACACAAGTTATCGTATAAATGTAATATTATAAATCATCAATACCATTTCTTTCGCTTCAGTTGATAACCGCACATTTTTATCATCCACCCATTTCAGTCTTTACCCTTCAACATTCTAATCACATTTCATCATATCATACCATTTTCAATGAATCACATTGTTTAGTTTTATATTATTCAATTGATTGTTTTACTTTGATTTTTCTTAGGCAAATAAATTAAAGCAGAAAAAGTGGGAATGATTTGATTAGCAAATTGTTCTTTCATTAATATCTAATTCATATTGGATTAACAATAATTTCATAGTTTTCTACAGTTATATTTATTAATGTTAAATGAAATCATATAATATCATTAAGCTTTATTTAATATATATATAATTGTTATCATTGTATTAATTATAATTCAATATTATTAGAAGAGAAAACTTATTGTATGAGGAAATTGTATCTTATGATAGTAAAAGTTAGAAGGCAAAAATATTTATGAGAAAGATTTGATTAGTTGAAACTTTTTTATAAACATAATGAATGAAGTTACGGATGATCTTTCCGTAGCAAATTTTTATAAAAAAGGTTTATACGCTATATTTCATCATTACTTACTGTTTATATTACAAAATTCATTTATATTTTATTATTTATAATTTATGTATCATTATTTATATTCTGATTATTTATATTTCAATATTTTTATTTTATACTTTATTCGTATATAGTAATTGCATTTCACATTTTTGCATATTGCGAAAACTATTATCGTAAGAAATGAAAATTACCGTATAAGGAATATTTTATACTTTGCTTGTTTATAGTAATTATATTTCACATTTTTGATATTGCGAAAACGAAGAAATGAAAATTACCGTATAAGGAAAAACGTATTTTTTGAATAATTCTAAATTAAAACTCTCCAAGAAACATTCCCCAAGAAAATAGTGAAAGATAAAAGAGTGGTAGAATTTTTATAGCTAAGATTTTCCACTTCGTTTTCTCTTATATTTTTGAGCAACTAAATTTGTTAGAATGAATTGAATCATTCTGTTAATTGCTAAATGGCTAATTAAAAGTATTTTAATTTTTCTGACAAATGTTTCCAAAATATACTAAAAAATCCTTTTGAAATTTTCATTAAAAATTGTTGAAAATTGATTAAAGGAACTTTCTTTTTGCAAGTAATTAAATAATCAATAAATTTATTTGATTAAATATTAAGGGTGTTCGCGTAATCTTTAGCTTCATCGGATCATTTTTTTTTAATTAATTACTCTTTTTGAAATAATATTTAAATAATGTCATATTATAATGAAAGAAGAAAAAGACCGAATGTTTGTTTTTTAAAACAAATTTACCATTTTTTTCATTTTGTTGTTAATTAATAGCTTGTAGTTTTTTTCAGCTCTATTTTCCACAACGTTGCAGTTTTTCTTTATTCTTCTTTAATTTGATTCTTGAATTCCGTTAATTCTTTAATTTTTCTTTAATTTGCAGTTTTTCTTCATTTCTCTTTTCCACAACATCTCGAAAAAAAATTCTGAAAGAGATGATACATGACAGTAATCTTCAAATTGTCTCTTTTAATTCACAAATTCGCGATTAAAAATTATTTCACTATTCTTAACATTATTAGTCATCGTCATTTTATTCGTCATAGTATTTAAAGTTTTCAATTATATGCATATATATATATATATATATAGGAAAAACTACTTTATGAAAATAACATATGCTACATATTTCATGTAACATGATGTTAGAATAGTAGAATATATAGGAATATCTAGGATATACGGAATATTTACTAGAATATTAGCATATTTAGAATACATAAAATATTTACCAGAATATTAGAATATATTAAAATATTTAGAATATATAGAATGTATAAAGAATATTTACTAGAATATCAGAATATATAGAATATATATAAAATATTTATTGGAATATCAATTAAATATTGTTACATAGATAGATAGATCTATAATGAAAATGAATGCACAATTCTACGACATTTATTTATCTTTCATTTTTGTTACCAAAATTCCTTACGGTTATCTTTGTTAGTAAATTTCTTTTAGAGCATTTTGTTGTATAATCAAATATTTATTTTAAACGATCAAAGAATTTCTTTTTTGAATTTCATTCACTTATATAATTCATTCCAAAATCATATACTACACGAATACAGAAATAGATTCTTTTCATACAATGTTATACATATATATATATATAGATAGATATACATATGATATAAATATATTTGACCTTGAAATGCTGTTGTAATATGAAGACGCAATCTTCAATTACATTTATTAATTGAAATGGTTTAAAATTTAAAATTCAACAACTTCAATTTTTTCCTCTTTTTCCTTTAAGTGGTCATTTTTTTTGTCATAAAATTACTACCACATTTTAAAAATAACGCCGAATGAAATCAAAGTTACTTTAATTGATATGATAAGCTTATTTTTGATAGCTTATAATAAAATTTTTTTGTCATTTTGCTTGCAGCATAGTTATGACTAAGATTTAATATCTATGATAATTAGTTTGATATTATTTTAAAACAATGCAAAATATATTGTGCAGGATATTTTCATGTAGTAGAATAGAATTCGATATAGTTGAAATAATTTCTTAAAATATTTTTTATTTAAATTTAAACTTAATTTTTGTTATTTTGAAAATTTTTTTTGTTAGAATATTTTGGCTAAATTTCATGCTATTTACTGAAATCCATTTCCTAAAATATTATCTCATAATTGTTAATAAATTTTAAATTTCTGATAGTAACTAACACTTATCAGAGAAATTAAATCATTCAGCGATCATTCAAAAAAGTGAACAAGTGAAATGTAAAACTCTTCAGATATTTCATTTAGAGAATCAATAAAATGTAGAAAAATGTCGTTTTTTTTCCCTAACAGCAAATACATTCGAAATTTGAAAATATTCGTTCAATTTTTTTATTTTAAATTATATTAGCAAATTAAAGAGTAAAGCTTGCAAAATTTTTCTTTCCTGTTTGAATTCCTATAAAATTCTGAAAGAAGGAATGAGAAACAGGAATTTAATTACTTAGATACTTATTAAGTGATAAGTAAATTACTTAAATACCTATTAGTGTTGGAGTGAAATGATAAGTGAATTACTTGAATACTCATTACTGCTAGAGTGAAATGATAAGTAAACTACTTAAATACTTATTACTGCTAGGGTAAATGATAATTAAATTGCTTAAATACTTAATATTACTAAAGTGAAAATGTTAAAAATCGCTAAAGCAAATAATTAAATTAAATGCTTAAAATGAGAAGCCATTTCAACTTTAATATCTCTTTTTCTATTTCATTTAATTTCTAAAACAAAAGTGAAAATGCTATTTCAAACAACTCGAAAGCATATTAAATCTTATTGATTTCAATTCGTAATCTCATCTTACATTTTGTGAAATTTCGTTAAACAGACAGATGTAAAATAAATTTTGTGAAATAGATGTAATAAATATTCAATCATTATTTCTCATACTACAAAATCATTTGCTTATCGATTGGGTAAATTGATTTTTCATTTTATAAAATATCATAGATCAATTTTTTTGCTTTATTTGATTTTAGTCAGATGTAATCAGAAGACTTTGTTGACAAAAATTTTGCTCCATAAATTATTATTATTCAAGGAAGCGAAACTAATTACAATTTACTAAAATCATTTCAATCATTTTGTTAATTATATTGAAATATTAAATCTAAGTTTGTTTTAGTTTTTTCCATCTTCTATTTTACTAATTAACAGCTTAAATAAGGCTGACATAAATTAGCTAATTTGATGGTAAATTTGCTACTTTGCTATTTAAATTAATTAATGGTTTTAAATTAGATCATATGGGATTATTCTAAATTAGTTTTTAAATTTTAATCTTATGGATTTATTTTACTAATTACCAGTTTTAAATTAAATCGGTATACTTTTTATAAATTATACTGTATCATATTTGTAAGTTTTTCGTCACAAATATTTTCTTCAAATCATCCTACAAAATATAATTTGCAGCAATCCAAATATAATGAACAAAGAATAAATCATTTTTAGAATTCGTTCTAACAACAATCTAAATATTAAAGATTAAGAAATAAAGAATAGAATTTATTAAAGAATAGATTTTGTTTATTTTTTAATTACAATTAACAACAATCAAATTATAAAAGGTTAATGAATGAAGATAAATATTAATGGTTTAAAAAATAAAGAATAAAATTTATTAAAAAATAGATTTTGTTTATTTTCAAATTACAACTAACAACAACCTAAACATAAAAGCTAAAGAATAAAGAATAGAATTCTTTTTAAAAATTAACTCATAATTAAATGTTGCACGATTTCGTTACAAAATTAATTCATAATTTAAATGTTACGAAATATGATAAAACAATATCGTTTCAGTTTATGCACAATTTTTTTGTAAAAAAAGATAAATTTGTCTAGAAAATTTTAATTTCAAAAATATCATTGAGTTAAAAGATTTTTTCCAAAAACCATTAAATTAATATTGCCAGTTGAATGATGCAAAATATCTTTGTGGTACTGAGTTATTATCAAATAAAAATTATTATTTTCTCATTATGGTACCAATTAATATCAAATAAAAAAAATTAATATTACCAATTGAAGGATGCAAAAATATCTTTATGGTACCAATTAATATCAAATGAAAAAGATTCGCTTTTAACAAATTGAAAAAGAACAAAATTTAATATATTTGCTTTTTTCCATGATTGTGAAATAGATACAAAACAATTTGAAATGGTAGTAACAGGTACAGGTATTAAATAAAACATACAAAAAGAAACGCTTCACCTAACATTTCAAATTGTTCATAATAAGCAGTATGAGATGATAAACAGATAGCGAGAGAAATTTCATCGCACATTAGTCATTTTAAACTTTAAAACCAGCTTACCAATACTAATTCGTTTTTTACCTTTCTTTTTTTCCATAATGTATTCAACAATGAAATATACAATAAATTTTTATTCGAATAAGAAATAATTTTTATGCAAAATTTTAATCCTAAAAATTTCATATATTTTCTTTTCATTTCTTAATTATATATTCTTCTAATTATACTTTCTTAATTATTGATTTGAAAAATTATTGATTTCGTCTTTTCAGCAAATTATATTGTCAGTGATAAAATTTAAGATTTATAAAAGAAAGAATGATTTGATTAACTTTAATATTTCATTATTTTATTCATATTTATTTTTAAATTCAATTCATTTTATTTTTTTGCATTTTTTATTAAACAAATATAATTTAGTTGAATTAATATATAATATTGTAAAGATAATAATAATAATAATAATAATAATAATAATAATAATAATAATAATAATAATAATAGTAATAATAATAATAGAGCAAAATATACAGCGATAATGAAAGAAAAAGGAAATAGAAGATCGGTTGAAATTCTGCAACATCGTGGTTTTATCGATATGAATATTCTAAATTGTGCAAGCGGATCGAAAATTGAACCTGATGAAGAAGAAGATATGAATGAAATGAAGGATTTACGATCATTTACCGGTGTAAGCAGCGCATATCGTACAATGGCCGTTTCACCTGATGCAAAAAAACTTTTGTTTAAGTAAGCATTTTTCTTTGTGCTTGTTTATTTTGTTTATTTGTTTATGTTTATTTATTTATTTATTTAGTCATCAAAATTTGCGTTTATTTATGCAAATTAGAATAAAAATGATTATTATTAGTTTAGTAAATGATTATTAATAGTTTAAAAAATAACTACTAAGAGCTTAAAAAATGATTATTGGTAGTTCATGATTAGTAATAGTTTAAAAAATGATCATTAATAGTTTAGGAAATGATTATTAATAGCTTATGGCTATTAATAGTTTTAAAAAATGATTACTAAGAGTTTAAAAAATGATTATTAGTAATTTATGATTATTAATGGTTAAAAATGATTATTAATAGTTATTAATATGATTATCAATAATGATTATTAATAATGATTTGGTTTTAATCATTAATCATTAATAATGATTTTAATCATTTTCTAAGTTATTAAAACGATTATTAATAATGATTATTAATAGTTTGTGGTTATTAATAGTTTAAAAAATGATCACTAAGAGTTTAAAAATGATTACTAAGAGTTAAAAAAATGATTATTAGTAATTTATGTTTATTAATAGCTTAGAAAATGATTAAAATAATAGTATAATTTTTCAATAAAATAAACTCTAATTATTAATTATTATTTGCATGTTCCTAGCCTTTTCTAACAAAATAGTACTTATAAGGTAGAAGTTGAAAATTTCCGAATTATACAACTTTGTTGAAAATTTCAAATTTTGATTTATCATCATTTAGCAAGTTAGAAATTTTAATAACAGATAGAATTTGTGACAAAGAAATATATTTTAAATTTCAGGAAAACCAATAGACAACTTTATTTATATGATACTGATGACGAAAATCAATGTAGTGATTTTACTATTACCGGAATTGATTTGAATCATAGCGAAGATACGGTAATTATTCAAGGAATAAAAGATTAAATAGCTAAAATTTGATTACCAATTACGAATCAGGATGATAATAATATCGAAATGATATAAATTTACATCAATATCGAACAACTACGGATATATATTTAGCGAAAGAGAGCGAGAGAGAAAGATATTCTAAATAATTCATAACCTAAAATTTGTCATATAAATCTTCAAAATTTTCGAAGATTGTTTGATGAGAAAATTTATTTTATTTTCTTAAATTATTCGTTTAATATTGAATAATGTAATCTTCAGGTATTTGATATAACATTTTTGGATAAGGAAACGATTTGTTTGATACTACAAAATCGTGAGGGTAATTTATATGTAACAAAAGCAACACTAAATTTTACATTAAAATTGATAGTTGTTTGCAGCACTATTACTTTTACACAAATTGTTTGCAAGTGAGTTATTGAATTATTTGATTAATAAAGAAAACAGAACCATTTCACAAAAAAGTTTTCATAATATTAAATTAACCTTAAATTAATTAATAATAAAAATAAATGTAAACTTTATGTATGTGTTATTTATGTAAGTGTTAAGTGTTATTAAAATGTATGCTTGATAAATTTTTCCAATAAAAATTTTATCTATTAATTTGTTATTAAATAAAACAATTAAGGAAATTTATTTAAAAAAAGAATTTCAGGAAGCATTATACAACAACAGTAATATACGATGAAACAGGTCCAGTTTTAATATCATATCCGTTATCATCGCAAAATAAAACCCGAAATGATCCACCAAAAATATGGCTTTTGCATTTGTCGAATTTTTATTCACGTAAAGGTGTACGAACAGTTGTTATTGAACCATCTGCTATTATTAAACATAAAAAAGGTAAATTTACGATAACTTTTTCATTTTCGCAACTGTTCCTAAATTCTCATAGTTTCCTTCTTCAAATGTTTCTTGAACTTTGACTTTTTCAATTTTTCATCCTATCGTTAAATGGTTGATGATTTTTCCTTTAAATATTCTTTAAACTTTGTTATTCAATGATATTTCGTCTGTTTCATTTTTGATTAACAGAATGAGAAATGAAAAATGGGTTAATTCATTTTTGAACCTTTCAATTTATTAAATGTAGACGAAGTAACTGGTTTAATTTGACCTTTCATTTGTTAATATCTCTGCTCTATTTTATATTTATTATTCTAACCTTATCATTAATCTCTAACTTTTTATCATTATTTATCAATTCAGTTATACCTATTAGCCCAATCATTTCATCACTTAACTATTTGCCATTAATTCAATTATGCGACATAAAACAAAACAAACAAATTCCATTTTCAGAAATACTTCCTAAATTGCAAAATATTTTTTAAAAAAATGCACAATTATTCTTTAATTATATTTTTCTAATTAAGCATATAATTAGCAATTTTTATTGACAGTAATGACAGATTAAATAAGCGAAAAAAGTATACATATAGCAATTGTGAATAATTCAATTATTTAAATTATCGGCATTTGTTAGTTATTAAAAATTGCTCATATTAATTAATTTATGAATAGATAAAATTAACGATTAAACCATAATTAATAATTGATCATAGAATATGAAAACGACTGTATCATTATTATACAATACTTCTGTCATTTAAATTTCAGCTCTATTTTGCGATCCATTTATTTATCAAAATTGCGTATATTTATTCAATCGTTTCGAGAGTACTATATTAAGTGTTCCTATTACTGGTAGAAATCGTGGTCGTACGCAAATATTGAATACACATCCAGATGCTCGATTTCAGAAGCCAAATAATAAATATGCAAATCGTTGCTTATTCCTGCTACGTAATATTATCCTAGTTTATTGTCATCAACGTTTGGATAAACCGAATGAAGAACCACAACTTTGGATTCTGAAATTGAAGTATATATTTATTCTATCGTAAAAATAAAACTGTTATATTGAAAAATATGCAAAATTTTCGCTTCTATGAAAATATGAAAAATTAATGGATATAAAACTTAAATAATAGAAAAGAAAAATAATTAACGAAAATAAAATAATTCTAAAATTAAAAGTTACAACGAAAAAATTAAATGATCACATTTTAAAAAATAAATAATTAATATCAAAATAAATTATTTAATTTTTAAATAATAAATTAATTTATCTTCAAATAATTAATAATTATAGCTATTTATTTATATCATTACATTTCTTTCCAAATCTTAATAATTGTAATCATATCACGATGAAATATTTCCAGTGAAACATTGTAATATTATTTAAAAAGTTGAGGGATTTATTTTTAGAACGATGAGATGGCATCGATTACATCTTATCCTCAATCATCATCATCCGACTACTTTAGTAAATTTTCAAAAGTCGATCAAAGAAGAATTAGCATATTTGCATGGTGAATGTGGACGTATAAGATGTCAGGAAAAGGTGCATCTGTATCAATTGAGTACCACGCAATCTTCTGTTATCATGGTTCACTTCATATTTCATTCAATTGATCCTATTGAAAAATTAAAATATAACTATTTAGGATTATTTCAAAATTAATTTGAAACCTTTAAATATTTATTCGAGAAAATTCTTTAAATATTTATTCGAGAAAATTCTCGAGTTCTATCAAAATTAATTCCATTATTTCGTTGCTATTTCTATTACAAAATATTTAAATTAAATCTGATATTTCTTTTAATTGAAGAAAAAGCGCAAATCAATAGGACAATTTTTTCATTTTAAACTTTATGATATTATTCAGTCATATGAATCAAATGATAGTATGTATCGGACAAGTTTAATTGATCAAAAAAGCAATAAATCATCGAAACGTTTCGCAAATACCGTTGAAATGCATCGCTTGGGTGGTAATAGCAACGTATACATTGAATCAACAACAGTCGTTGGACAGATTGCACCATCACTTCGCTATATCAGAAAATGTAATCGTGAGAAAGTAAGTGATAATGATAAATTAAATATTAGCTTAAATTATATTTTTTTTACACTAAGATAGTTTAAAATGAACTTTCCTTTAGTTTATTTTATCTTACACATTTGTTAAATCATTTTCTCTTATTGCAAAAATTTTCTAACAAAAATTAAATTTTATAAAATTTTTGAAAAAGAACTTTTTTTAAAGTTTTTTTATTTATTTGTTTAATTGTTTACACTTTATCACTTTTTTTGTTGTTTTGTTTTTGTTTTAATTAAACTTTCATAATTTATAAATATAAGTAATAGTAATAGTAGTTGTTAATTGTAAGTAATAGTTAGTAATTAAGTAATAGCAATTATTAATTACAATTTATTACTATTATTTATTTCTAACCATTTCTCAATCACATCTAATATAAGCTTTCCTTTTTCCACTTATTTTAATATACTGTAATTTTAAAAATTTAATTAAATTTAATTTTTAATTTAAGCAGCTTTATTTCATTTATGATGAAATATTTCAACTTTACACTGTTTTTAACTTTGGCTTTTTTAACTTAATCAATTAAGAAATGAAAAGATAATTAAGAATAATATCACCGTATTATTCAAGGTGAGAAATTTTCCCGCAGGTTATCCTAAAAATATCCAAGAAGTATCTTAAAAAGTTAAAGCAATATATCAAACAAACTATTTGCTTAATTTGCTAACATTCCTTTCAACTTATTTGAAGCTTCAAAAAATACCACCTCATGATTTCCTAATTTAACTTAGCCAATGTTAATTGACACATCGAGATGGAAAGTTTAAATCATAAATTTCGAAGAAAATAAAAGGTTCGACGTATAACAGGTAGATGAATGAGATTTTTGCTTTCAGTATTTGATAAAGCAAACTTCTATAAAATAGTTACTTATCTATTCTAATTCCTGAAATACAATTTTACTATTTTATATTAATTACTGTAAAAATTCTTCATTCCGATACTATACCAAGAAATAGAAAGATATGCATATATTTAATACTTTCAAGAATATATATCGATCTTACTAATCTTTATCAACTAATGAAAAATTAAATTATCAATCGTAAATCTCTGAGATATTTGTTATCTTTGCTATTTCATAATTAAATGTAAATAACAATTGAAATATAGTCCTTTTTGTTTTTAATATAGTCCTTTATAAAATAGTCCTTTTTTTAATATATTCCTTTTTGAAATATAGTCCTTTTTGTTTTTAATTTGCTTGTAATAATATTAATTGCTTATCAAACTTTCTATAAAGTTCTCCTAAAATTGTAAGGACAATTTTCTTCTAAAATTTTTTTCTTCTAAAATTGTAAGGACAATTTCAGAAGAACTTTATAGAAAGTTTGATAAGCAATCAATATTATTGCAAGCAAATTTTGTGGCAAAGAATAAATTAATTAAATTTAAAAATTAAATGTTTAATCAATTTATAACCGTAAATTTAACTTTTGTTTAAATTTAAAAATTTAATTTTTTATCAATTTATAACTGTGAATCTAAAATGGTCTTTTATTTAAATTATTTTCGTAAATTTTGAAAAATATAACATTTCTCATTCTTCCTGTAATCCAGTTCAGTTGGTATCAATTCATTCTTTTTCCCCTTGTAATCCAGTTCAACTGGCAACAATTCATTCTTCTTCTTCCTGTAATCCGGTTCAGCTGGTAACAATTCAATTAAATGATTGAAATTGTTTACACTTCTTTCAAACTTTTTTTCTCTTCTCACCTGTTAGCAGTTTTTATAATTTCCACCTTAAAATATCATTGCTATTGCTTAGTGTAGTCAATAATTTATTACTTAAAAAATAAATTTTAAAAGCTTGAAAAAATTATGATTGTAATTTTTATAGCAACCCATTTTATTCATTTCATTATTTATAAGAGAGAATAAAATATTTACAAATTGAAGAGAGAGAGAGAGAGGAAAAGAAAGAAAAGAAGCAAACGGAAAGAATGTTAAGTGTTAAATGAAGAGAAGTTTGATTTCTCATTTTGACTTGAATTTATGTAGGATTTGAAATGAACAGGCATTCACGTTTAATTTCGATTAATCCGAGATGTTGACGTAAAATTCTGAATAAACACGTATCAACGTCAAATTTTCAACAAACAAACATTTCCATTGTATTTTGTGGATCAACAAATATTGACAGAGCAGACAGACATTTACGTTTTTTTTTAATATTATAATTGGTGTAATTCTGTGCCAACCGTCCTTGCTTTCGTCCACAGTAATTTCCTCTTACGATCACTCAATCATTTTAAAATCGCATATTTCAAATATTACATTCATAAAATTTAAGCAAGAAAAAGTGGCAAGTTGTTTCTAATTTTCAATGGTTCAAAAAATTTAATATGAAAACAACGGAACCTTTTTTAAATTGTTATTAAAAGTTTCGGCAGTTTTTTAATAAGTAATTAATAAGTAATTAAACCTATAATTAAATGCAAAATTAGGACTTAAATTTAACCTTTTTTTTCTTTCCTTTTTGTAGCATGATATCTATCATTGCTATCATTCAACTTAACAGTGCTACTAATATTTCCAATATGAATGCTACAGTATGAGAACATTCGATATTATCATGTTGCTATCATTATTTGATTATCTTGATAAGTTCCTTTTCATTTCCATGACTGATAATGAACATCATTCGTCTATGATATCAATTAATATCGCATAGAATCGATTTTGCAATAAATATGAAATGAAATTTAAAATAAGAAATGCTTTATTTCATTATTCAATTTCTATTTATTGTTATCACTGATATTTCTTTACTTCATGTGTTAGAAAAAAGAAAAATATATCTGTTGCTAAAATTAAAATTAAAATTTTAGAAAATAAAATTTTATGTCACATAATTAAAATTGCATGATGATATGAAAAATCTGTGCATAATTAACGACTTATGTTCTTTAGTTCTTCATTTATTAATCTATTTTAGAAAGTTTCTTTCATCCTTAGTTTACTTTAAAGATGAAGCTGTCAGAATGAATCTTTTCCTCTTTTTATTACTACAAATTAGATAACTAAAATTTTTGCTAAAGCGGCAAATATTTTTACACTTTTTCAACATTTCTTCATTTCTTCCAATTTTTTCTTTGTTCTTTATTTTTTCATTTAAATTATTAATTTTCCTAATTGAAAGATAATAAAATTGCAATATCAAATTATATCTTTTGCTACCATTCTGTGGATTCATTTTATTTTTTTTTTTGTAATTTAATTTTAGTATTTCAAAAAATTCGAAAATTCTTACATATTGAATTTTCTCATCCATTTCATTTCATTTTAGTTTACCTGCCATATGTGAGATTAGAAAGAAAAGAAACTAAACTTATTTAAAGTATCTTTTATTCTCTTCATCTCTTTCAACTTAAATTTATTTCCTTCGCTTAAAATTCCAAACGAAACAAAAATTCTATCAAAACTTTTCTTCTGCAACATTCCTGCAAAAAAAATCATTGTGTTGTATTATTCATTGCATTCATTCGTCGTCGTTTAAAGTATTTATCAATTTTTCTAACCTTATCAAATATTCCCTTAGCATTCCAAAAATTTCAAAGCTTAAATTGTTTGCACATTTTCAAATTCCATAAATGTCAATTTTTCTCTCGATGAGTAATCTCTTCCAAGGAAAAGCGAAAATTTTGTTTCATATCATTTTCTATTGGTTAATAACAGGAAAAGGAATGGGAAAAGACACGATGAATTTATATTTATTATTATGTTTACATGAATAAATAAAGACTGGACGAAATGAATGATAGGATAAATAAATATGACAAAATAAATATTAATTAATTAGTCAACTAATTAATGAATAATGGCAGAAAGAGGAATAGGAAAAACAATACATTTATTTTTTTATCATTATGTTTACATGAATAAATAAAGACCGGGCGAAATGAATAATAGGATAAATAAATATGATAAAATAAACATTAATTAATTAGCCAATTAATTAATGATTAATGACAGGAAGAGGAATGGGAAAAACGATATATTTATTTTTTATTATTATGTTTACATGAATAAATAAAGACCGTACAGAATGAATGATAGGACAAAATAAACATTAATTAATTAACTAATCAATTAATGTTCATTTGTATTATTTGATAAGGAAAAGATTGATTTATACTAACTATTTACAATATGATGAAAATATTTCGTACTTATTTCAAGTGAAAAAATTTGATAATTTGATAAACTTTTTTTTCAAATTTTTATCAACACTTTTTTTAAAATGGTTATTTGAAATATTTCTTTTGCAATGTTTATGTAATACATTTAATTTAATTTAATTTAATTTAATTTAATTGTTAATGAAATAATTAGGTATAGATTGTATTGTTAATGAAATAATTAGGTATTGATGAATGGAATTCTTCATTTCATCAGATAATTTAAATATGATATCATAATAATAGAAAATAAGTTAATATAAAATAAATTACATACGGTGCATAATAATCAAACTGTTCTATATACTGTTAAATCGATATATGAAAAAATTCTGATTTCAGGTTCTGATATTTTTAATTCAATAACTGTTAATTGATATATTCCATTATCTTTTCGCAAATTATTTATCAATGAAGTGGAATAATAAATTGAAATGATAAAATTAATTTCAGAAACAGTAACTAATCATATCTTTTCAACTAATTTAAATTTTCCATTGAATGATAAATTACAGATTATCATTGATTAATTCCTTATCAAAATTTCGACTACTGTCACACTGAAAGCTCATTTATTTATAGCATATTCTCATACATTCTCATTTGGTTCAAAAAGATATCAATTTAAAATATATTTAAAATATAATTAAATATTATAATTACTAGCATTATTAATTGAATAAATTATTCAGTAAACCTTTATTATTAATTAACTAAATTGCTAAATAATCTTCAATTAGTTAGCTCATCGAAATTTATGTGTTCGTATTATTGTTGTTACATTGAAAGTAGAAACAAGTTTAAAAGTACAATTTAATGAGAGTGGCAACAAATTTTATAATTTTTCACCAATGT